AACGCCATTCGTTTAAACCAGCTAGCTCCAGCGTGCTGAATGTGCGCCAAAATACTCTCAATCGGCATACAGCTCTCCGCAGATTAGCAATTCATCAAGCTTCAAATTTTTTCAAGTTTAATATTTTGTTCTTTTATTTTGCCCTCTGTGAGAGTTATTCAAAAAAATTCGATTATTTTACGCCTTCTAACCTGATTTAGAAATATTAAGAAAATACGTTCGCCGAACAGCCACTTACCATACTGTAAAGTAACGATATCGGTATGAATATATATATTTATTTTATGTATGATTTGCGGTTATCCACTTTTGTTGTCCCAAAAGCCAAAAAAGGTAAAGATAAAATCATATCACCAAAATTATTAAAAAATTATTTATTTATTTATTTATTTTTTATTTATAAATTTTTTATTATAAATCAAACATTTATAGAGGCCTTCATCTAAAGTGATAAAGTGATAAACTGCTTAAATATATCAGTTTATCCGCATTCTTGAACGCACCTCGGTAAATAATTGCATACAATTTTTTATTATTCAACTTATATAGCTAGTAACGCTTTCATTCTTATCGCGTCCGTTGTGTTCATTTGCTTGTATTGTGTCCGTAGCAAAAACGACCACCTGGTAACCTGTCATGGTTGAATTTTGCTGAAATTTATACATTTAACCACCAAGATCGTTTGATACAATGATAAACTTTGGTTAAATAGATTCCCATACAAAATTTGACAATTCATTTATCAAAATGATAAATTGATCATTTTATCAAGCTTATCAACAGTTTATCACTTTTGGTGAAGATCCCTTATGTGAAGATACTTATCATTTTAGGAATCCGTTTAACACTACTTTAGGCCATATTAGTAGGTACATCCACATAGGCCTCGATAATTAAGTACGTATACTACTGATCAATACATTGGTACGTTAGGCCGAAAAGTATTTCAGAGAAATATAAAGTCCAAATATGAATATTTAATTCATTTAATTTTAAGTATTTCTCATATTATGGGTGCTCCAATCGATTTGTTTTTCAGATTTCGGCATATCAACAGGCCAGCAAATTGATGACAATTGTACCTTTACATACAATAGTACAGATCGAATATCAGGGTGGTTTGGTTCACCGAATTTTCCTGGCTACTATCCACAGAATATGATATGTCATTACTACTTTTATGGAAAAGCTGACGAAAGGGTCATTATACGATTCACTTTCTTCGATGTTGAGGGTATTGGAACGTAAGTTATTTATCTTTATTTGTATCCAAATTTTTTCATTTAAAGATAAATCTTAAATTTTGTTTTAGCTGCGAATATTTGACAGCTAGTGATTATGTAGAATTTTCAAATTTCATGAGCACCGACCGTAAATATGGAAAATACTGTGGCAAGCGAGATAAATTTGAGGTACGCTCCGACGGACGTTTTTTCCGGGTATCTTTTTATTCAAATGATCGCTTTGACAAGACTGGCTTTCGCGCTTTGTATGATTTCGAAGGAAAAAATTTGCGTGTAGAAAATACTTCAATGCAGAGTTATGTATCTAATGCCAAAGGTCTTTTGAGTTTAAATCCAAGACACAAAGTAGTATTTGCTATGCCACTGGCATTTAACTTTATGCGTTATTGCTTAATAAATAAATTTAATTTTTAAATAAGAAACATTTTGTTTTACATACAATTGTGGATTTTATGGACGATAATTCGTAAGTATGGTGAACACTTATTAGACTTTACACAGATTTTGTATTGTATAAAACGAACCCAGTTTATGAAATTACATGCACGAAGCCGTATGCAATATACAGAACCATAAGAAACGATTCAACTTTATATTTCGTCGCCGCCGCGGTAAAAGCTGTGAACTCCCCTTAGTAAAATTTTACACTAGAGCGATAAGTAATAACTACACAATTTTGTGTCAGATTTTTCTAGAGTACTGGTACAGACTGAATATATCTTTATTATATAATTACCTATTTTGCTTTCTTTTTTTAATAAAAAATATAGATGAAGTGTGCCCAAAATTTCAAGAAAAGTTAAATTCTGGCTGCATTTGGGTGTTTTTATTAAAATAATGCTAAAACTGATATAAGCACATAAACATAAATGATGTTTTTAGTGGCACTCCATACTGCTGAAGTTCTTGTTATTTTGTTTACAGTTTTTTATTTTCCCTGGCTTATAAGGATTTTACGTTCTTATTCCGGTTTATAGGTCATTTTAATTTTTCAACCATTTTGGGCAAAGCATCGTGCTAGACTTTGCATTAACTGAAGAATATCAAACTTCGAAAGAGATTTCAAATCAAATAATTAAAAAATCTTGTTGTTTTCCACACCTTGTTTCATTAAAAATGGTTTCAAATTTTTAAATATTAATAAAAAAAAACCAAGGTAAAATAACATACTTTGAATTGAAATAAAAATTATTTCTTTAATTAAATAAGAAATCCGCTATAACATTACATGACTTCTACTACGTTTATGCGCGCGTATTATTTGCAAATAACAATTTGCAAAATGGTAAATTTTGCCACCTAAACGCTGAGTTAATTTTTTATTTGCAAATAACTAAACGCAAATATAACGCAAATAAGTATTGATTAGTGGTACTATTTGCAAATAAGCGCAAAGCATTCTTAGGTTTATTTTATTTTTCGATGGTAATCTTATTGCCTTTTTATGATCAAAACGTTGCCATTTTTAACTTTATTTTCTATTTCGATGTTCATAATAATCAGCCAATATTAAAAAAGAATTTTTTACCAACGAATTTTCGCAAACAGCTTACGTAGTTTCGCCTTGATACCGGAATTAAAAAAAAAAAATTTAAACAAAATATAAATGTACACATGGCATTAATATTGGAAAAAAAGATTTCCAGTTGTCATCTTTGACTTTCCAGCAAATCAAACATCTAGCAATCAGCTGATTCCTACTCACCACATCTGAAGGTCATGGTGAGTATTTACACAACATTTGCAGTGTTGCCATCTCGCTGCTTTTGGATCTAGATTAAGCTCTATTTTTCGGTCTAGCTCCGAAAATCAGATTTAGCTTCTAGCTCTTTTCAAATTTATCTAGCACCTTTTTAGCTCCAGAAAGTTTTAGTTGTACTTGGTAATATATTAAAACTAAAAATCTATGATTTCATTGTACAAGTGTTGACTAAAATTCATTTGACTTTGGTGATCTCAGCCTATTTTCGATAGCTTCATGTTATTTTATTTCGTGTAAAACTTAGAAAGGTTCCATTGTGCAAATGGCGCGGCAAGTAAGTCGATTAGTTTCTACCACGTGCGCGGCAGCACACAAACTATACCCAAGAATGATAGAACTCTCAATCGTGAACTATACCGGGCAGTAATTCGAGCTCCAATAAGCTGCGACCGTGTATTCTCTCTCTGCAAAACATACATTTGCATTCACGGGAAACTACAAAATCCACCATCTTGGTTCTATGTTAAAGAATTCAAAAATTAATTACAAGAAAATCCTAGTTCTGAACGCGCGGTTTTTGTTTTTACCTTACTTATTAAACCTTAAGGAGAGAAAGAAATAAAACTTTTCAGAAATATTTTGCGAAAAATTTATTAGTAGGTTTTTGTTTTTACCTTACTTATTTAACCTTAAGGAGAGAAAGAAATAAAACTTTTCAGAAATATTTTGCGAAAAATTTATTAGTAGCTCGAGTTTTTATGGTCAATTCAAATATCTGAAATTGCATATTTTAACAGTCTGTAAAGTATTTTTAGTTAATCATCTAGTTTTTATAAGTATATGCGTACATATATGTAAGTGCCTTAGCATTGAGTTCGAAATATATGCACCTTATTTTCGTTGTAAAAGGTTTTTTCGGCACTTAAATTAATAAAACTCGTTAATTTTATTTTATTGGGGAAAATGTAAAAGAAACTTAATGTGAATAAATGTTTAACTTTAAAAAAATATCTTTTCATAGCTACTATTAGTATTATTTAGCTCTTTTTTCGACCGATTTTGCTCCAAATGAAATATTCTTCTGGCAACACATTTGATGTTGAGCGATGGAGAATTTGGAAGTTTCACTCAGTGTTGCCACTATATTTTCATTACCATTTGAATTTTTGTAGTAATAGGTTCTTTCCCTAACAATCCGGACCGGATCCGGTAATTAGAGAATAAGCGATAAGTTTGCTCTCAAAAATGGAACATAATCCAGAAGTACGGGAGCGCAAAAAACCACATTTCGTGCTCAGAATTTGAGAAACAGCTTATTCGCGTTGTTTTTGTTTTTGCCACTTAAATGCAAACGCTTGGAAATTGAATTTTTGTTTCACAAATTTGATTTTAAGAATATAAAGATTGAAAATACATTCACTATTCCTTAAAAGCACCAAGTAGCTGATATGCACTTTGACGCTTTATCCATTACCCGGAGAAAAAGTCCGGGCTGTTTCGGACAGGATGAAGTTACAGGCCTATTCTGCGCTGATAATACATTTTGTAAATAAAGTTCTTGTCAATTTTTAAACCCTTTTCGCATTCTGTGCCCTCTTGTAACCGAAAAAAATTTATTACCATGTCATACGCTGGTAACAAAATATTGCCACGTGAAATATGCAATGCCAGAACTTCCACAATTCTTCACAGCTGAATGGCTGAATATTTCAACTGCATTACCAACGTAACTAGAATCGCGGTAACAAGAACTGGTAAAAAAATTTGGTAATAAAAATTTCCGGTTACTAAATCTTAATGTATACATATGTTAAAAATGGAACACCTGAAGCGTTGTTTTTTATGGGGTGTTAAGTATAATGCAGATACCACTATTTTTTTTAAGGTGCCTCAATGTCCTTCGCGTAAGGAGCGTCGCGAAAGCAGCTGTGGGGCGGAGCTGCAGCGAAATGCCTTGCTGTGCGTTAAACAATTTAAATCAGCAGATTTCATAAATGCACCGGGAGGTACAAACAACATTTTTTTTTAATAAGGAGATATCTATGAGTGGGGAATTTTACGAAATTTCAGGTAAAATCGGGGAATTTTATAGTCGAATTAGGGGAATTCTCAAAAATGAGTTGGTTGCCCTGATTGCAATACACAAATTCTCCTATGACGTCATATTTCTGTCAAAATATTCAAGAGAGTGTTAGCGGTATCACAATCAGCGCCACCTTCTGTATTCGTTTCACCATGTGCTGGTATCTGGTCAGTGTGGCCGTTTTGCTCCAAGTGGATCAAAAGTTAACATATTTCGATGAATTTTGGAGGGACACTTCTTTTTAAATTTTGATACATGTCCAATCGTGTAAAAAAAAATCCCGTAGAATACGAAAAACTTGCCAGAGATGTTTACAATTTCTTCGCACATAGTGCTAAAAGGGTGGATGAATTTGACGAGTTTCGAAGCTACTACGTTGTTGTTAAAAATCATAACATTTTTCGAGTGCTAAACATTCGCTGGTTGTCGCGGAAGAAAGCTGTTGATCCTATACTGTCCCAGTGAAGCGCGTTGCAATTATTCTTCATATCTTGTTTTGATGACGGTGTGAACCAAGCGCGAGCTATTGCCGAAAAAATTGATTCCGCAACATAAAAAATTTATTATTTATTTTGGTAAAATATTTAGGATATTGTCAATCTATTGAACATAGAATTTCCAAGTGAATCATACAGATTGCATAAGTTATAGAACAATTTTGAAAGTAACTATAAACTTATATTGTCTTTTTTTTGTCAAACCAAACTGTAGGCCAAGTAATCCAGCTGATATAGACGTTTGTAACCCAGATAATCATTTACATACCTATTAAGGAAGTATATATAATTGTGCCGCAGAGAGGTATATATCAACAGTACATTTAAGTGAAGTGGGGGGAATAAGCAAGCTATAAAATGCTTTAAATAACTTTTTTATATTTCGAATTAACTTTTATTTTAAACTTGTTATGTTATCCGCACTACTCTGCCGCTGCAGAGCGCATTTTCTCAGAGCTGAATTTGATCATAACAAATAGAACAAGTCGCTTCACTTCGCCAATGGTGGAATGCATAGTGATTTCGAAATGCCTTAAAAATTATTAAACAATTTTAATTCTAAGTTCTAAAAGTACAAAAAGTATCTAATTTACAAATAAGGTTATATATACATAAGAAATATTTGCTCTTTTTATTATACTAACACCCAGTTGAACTGATTCATGTAAGACATTTTCGTTATTATTATAATACTAGTACCAAGTAAAACTGATGCGTGTACCTTTTTTGCAATCAATAAATGTCAAATTGTTTTGGAAATTCGTTTTTCATAAAAATTATTGGTTTTATACCATTGATACTTTGATACCTAAAATACAAAGAGTAATACATATTGATACAGAGAAGTCTCTCCTCTGCTGCAATTTTTCTTAAGCCCGCGGTCACACTGTATCTGGTATCTGCATTTGCATTTCAAACATAATCAGCCTTAAGGCCCGGTTAAACGTGTCAATGCAAGTGCTTTTTCTACGCATTTTGCTGTCAAAATGCGAAATCGAAAATCTACTTTCCCGTGTAAATAGCCAAAAAGTCCTTTTTTGCAGATTTGCGGAAATCACTTTTGAATTAAAAATTGCAAGGTGTAACTGCAACTGAAATCACACAAATCGCTTTCGAGAAAAATTTTAACTTGCTCGCGCTGCACTAACAATTTTCTTTTTTGCTGCAAGTGCTGTCAAACCAATCGAGTGTTGCCGTGTGACGCCGTTTTTGTCCGGATTTGTATAAGATTTTAAAAATGTTGCATCACATTTAATACAATACTTGTAATTAATGTATTATCCTGATATGAACAATTTACTTAGATCGAGATTTTTTGTTTGTTTTGTGTGCATTTTAGCATTTTTAACGAATTTTTCAGGTCAGTAAAATTGTTGAGCATAAAAATTTCTGGTGACACAGGTGAAAGTGGAATTTTCTGCATTGACTGTGTAAGCAGACAAAAAGTAGTGTCGAAAGTTTGATTTTTGGAAATAAAAACTGCTTTTGAAAGTTACTTTAATTGCAAGGTGTAACTGCTTCTGCAAGCATTTTTGGAAACTGTGGAGTTTGACAGACTTTTAAAAAGGACTTGCACTTGCCACGTCTAACAGCTACTTTATTCTAAGTTTCACCCGAAAAAAAATTCTCCCGAAAATTTTTCATCCGCCCATATTAAATACATGAAACCAAAAGTGAAAAGTGAACCGGTTCGGGGAAAATTAAACTCATGATAAGGCTGAATAAATTTTCCTTCAGGAGGACAAAAACTCGAATCCTCATGTACCTATATGTATATTAGGCTCGTTCTTAAAGGTATGACGCACATTTTTACATCAGATTTGCTAAACCTCCACCGCTACGTCGATGCTACTACATATGTATAGCCGAAGGTACCACATACAAATTTTGGTCCCGATCGGAGTCAGTAAAGGCGTGTCGCACAGGAGGCAAAGTTCAAATTACCCTTTGCGACACGCCTTAACTGACTCCGATCGGGATCAAAATTTATATGTAATAATATATTCGACTATAGGAGTATAGATTTTGGGTATTAGATGAAAAAAAAAAAGTTTTAATTTTTTTAGTCTCCATAGAGGCCTTAACCGGCTCCAAGCGGGACCAAAATGTATATGTGATATCTTTGATTATAGTATTATCGATTTTGGGTATTAGATGATTTTTTTTTATTTGAAGAGCCACCATGCCTTGGCCGATGCCACGCAATGAGCGGCTTAAAATTAAAACATATGAAATGCTATTGAGGTGGCCACTCACTGAACGACACAACAACTTGCAACTTTCTAATCAGATTTCTTTCTATACAAAGTATGTTCGCCATTTTTTCAAAAAAAAAATAATAATAATAATAATAATTGCGAAAAAACCAACGCGATTTAAGAGAGAATTGTTGCGAGTTGCTGCTGGATGTTTTCCCCTGGATATCTATTCAAAAACTTTTTCTTCAATTTGTCTTGTCGATAAGCTTCCATGAAAGTTTACAATTTCAACTTATATTTTATTCCGCGCGATAAGTTTCAACCAGAAACCATTTATTGGCGCTAGACTTAACCCTTTCTTCTCCAATTCGATTGGTAATATCGTCTTTTTGGCAGCGGTGATGCGAAAATCTCGCACTAAATAATATAATATTGCCTTTGCTTCTAGCGGAGCGAAACGTGAAGCTAAATACGAAAAATTTAATAAAATAACCGTAACTTCAAACAAACCTCGAATTTCAATACTCACCAATACAATTACGCGGTCCCTCTCCAAAAGGTATAAAAGTAAACGGTTTGATTTTATCTTTATTCTCAGCACTAAAGCGTTCTGGATCAAAATTATCTGGATTTGGATAGTACTGCGGATCGCGATGAATACCTGACACCGGTATCATAATAATCTCGTCTTTCTTTATTTCCTTACGTTCGCCGTTGGCTTCGAATAGAAAATCTTTTGTACATATTCGATTGAGCAATATAATGGGTGGCCATTTTCGCATTGTCTCATTTACAACCATTTCCAAATATTTCATTGCATGTAAATCTTCATACGTCAATCTTTTACCTTCCCGTCGTTTATTAAGTTCTTCAACCTCTTCAAAAAGTTTTTCTTGTACATCCGGATTCGCCATTAATTCATATGCTGCAAAGCAAATCAGTGTCGACATAGTGTCAAAACCGCCTAAAAAGAAAATGAAGCATTGTGCGACCATTTCCGTGTCGGTCCATTCACGATTATGTGCCTTGGGCGAGTCAGTAGGAAAAAGACCGCGGGCCTCCATCAGCAAGTTGATCATGTCAGGCCTGCGAATATTTCGTTCCTTGCGATATTTAAAAGCATCAAGAACTAGATGACGGAAGTACTTAGTTGAGTTTTTGTCAACGAACTCAATTCGAAGAAGCTGTAAGATCGATAAGATATGGAGATGTCATTACAAAGACCTTAATTACAAAACATATAAATATGTACATATATAAATCAACAATTAAAAAAATAGTTTTTATAAGGATAGTTTAATAAGTCAGTGAATTTTGGAATCTTCCGTGGAGTATCTTTAAATGTGGGCGGCCGCTGTAGTGTAGTGGTAAGCAGTGCGCGCTTCCTCTCCGCAAGGCCTGGGTTCAAGCTAAGGTCAAAGCAACATCGCGAAAAATATTTAGAAAAAGTGTTTTTATTAACAGCGGTCGCCTCTCGGCAGGCAATGGCAAACCTCCGAGTGCCATGAAAAACAGCTTCTCTTAAAAATACAATCGCCGTTCGGAGTTCCCTTCGTGTGACAGCATCAAGGTCCACGCCACAAATCGGAGGAGAGGCTCGGCCAAACACTAAAGGCCCGTTAACATACAATTTTGGTGTTGCGTTGGCGTTGGCGTCGCTTCGACAGCTGACTATAAATATATGCATTTATATGAAAGTCTCCACATAACCATAGTTGGGCAACGCCAACGCCAACACATCGCAGAAAGATGGCCAACTCTCAACTTTTCGCGCGCGTCGTTCGTCAGCTGTTCCAAATAATCAAAATTATGTGATTTAATTTTATTTTTTAATCAAATGCGGACAAGAAATATTGTTGTTAATGCAATTATTGATTTAAAATTTTGATCTATTTGTCGCTGGTATGTTAATTTAGTGACCAAAGTATTCTCTGCTAAGCGTTCATTGTAGCAAGCACGGGTGTTATTCGCGCTGCTGTCAAAGCGACGCCAGCGCCAACGCAACGCCAAAGTTGTATGGCCTTAACATTCATGCACCTTGAAGATAAGAAATCAGAAATTTAATAATGCGAAAAAAGTTTTACTGGTTCAAATATTCAGACAACAGAGGACGCTTTATATGTTCATGTAATTTTTAAGTGTACGATATTTCTAAAACAAGCTTGTAGGTGACAAAAAATACTTAAATTGCAAATTTTACTGTGCTTAGAGAATTGTTAATCTTACCGATTTACTGATAACCTAGAATAAGTTTAGGATCAAAATCGTTTTTGCGTCATTTTATTTAAAATTCCTTATATTTTTAATATATGATATATATATATATATATTATCATATATAATCACGGACCCCAACAACCCTTTAGCAATAAGTTTCAAGCTAGTCCGCTTGAATATCTTCAGCCAAACTGGTTCGGCCATTTTGAATTTTTTAAATTTAATGTCCGATTCGTAATGAGCGATCCCAAGAGCTGCCGTGCGATATATTTCAAGCAAATCAAATAAGTTTTGAATTTTCCTGGTCCACAGTGGCCATGTTTGACTGCAGACGTTCATACCCTATGCAACATTTTCTACCGATTTAGCCCCATACGACTATGTATGTATATCCTCTTTACAAAACTGAAGAAATCGCTCAAACACCAAATTATCCATTTGCTTCATTTCTTACATAGATAAACATTTGGCAAATGCGGCTCTTTGAGCTTAGAAAAAATGTGGATATACAGCATAATCGTCCACATAAGACATACACTTCTGGTCAGCTAATTAAGTTAAGTTAAATTTTGACCCGTCACTTAACTTAATCAGCTGACCACTAGGGTACATACAATGACTCAAACAAATGACCACGTGCTGATTTTTTTTTAATAAACGTAATGTTTTTCGAAGTAAATTTGTTTTGTTATTTTTTCTATAACAACACCGTCCAATCTTAAACCAAATCCATATAAATCACAGCTTAATAGCCTTACTCATAAAAAATAAAGTAGCTTTAAAAAAGGTTTATAAGTTGAAAAATGTATGAAAACATCAATTTCTAAAGCTCTTTAAACCTAGTTTATTTTTTATGAATAAGGCCATTAATCTTTATACAAAATTTAGGAAAATTCAACAAATCTTCATCAAAATTTCAACTTTTTAATCTGAAGGGATTTTTGCACTTTTTTCTCATATAAGCACGAATTTCTTATGAAATAAGGCGCGGGAGAGTCTAAAAAAAATTTTCAAATTTCAAATCGATTTGCATATGTATTAGGGATGTTAATCCCGGGATCAAAGTTTGCTTTTGTAAAAACTAGAGCAATTTTTCTGGAAAAATCACTAATTTTAATTTAATTTTACTTTAAATAATAACATATAAATGTAAAATAACAAGAAATTAATGTCTAAAACTGAACATTTTTAGCATTTCTTATACTTATCGACGTCAATCAGACATAAGCAAACTTTAAGAACTAAAAATGAAAATTCAAGTGTTTTTCAATGTTTGGAATGAGAATTTAAGCATGAGAACAGAAACCCTGTGCGACGGTCAATTTTACACACCCATAAATCAATATATTCGCGAAACCATGGGCCAAATATAGTAACCCTGCTTTCTTAGTTTTTCTCTCTGATGCCAGGATTTTTTAAAAGGAGTTTGAAACTTGAAAAACATGAGTAATTCAAAAAATAATTTTAAAAATTCAGTGCAATGTATAGAACAGTATGGGCATCAAATGTAAGATAACAGTTTATAGAATTAAAACGGACAAATTTTTGGAAAAATCTTTTTAAAATTTTATCCTTGAATATCATTAAAGTTTGCAATATTTATTAAAAAAAATATATGTTAAAGACTAATATAAACTCGACAACATCCTCTACTTTCGTACTTCTAACTTTAATATCTTAAAAAAATAAAAATGATTAAAAGGGCATTTCAATTCATACCATCGTTGTGAACCTCAAATTTCTATTAGTTCTACAGAATTTTTTCTTTTATTTTGTATCCAAATTGTTTTTTTACATTGCACTGAGTTTTTTAAAAATTTTTTAGAATTAATTATGTCTTTGAAATTATAAAGTCCTTTAGAAAATCCTGACGTCAGAGAGGAAAATTAAAAACGCAGTTTTACTATAAATTTTTGGCCCATCGTTTCGTAATGTGTATATTGGGTGCTTCGGTATGTATATGTAAATGCGCATTTCAAAATTTTTACAGAAATTATAAAAATTTTAAACTTTTTACTCAGAATTTTTATACAAATTTCAGGTATTCAAATTTTTAGCTCATTAAATTATTGTAGAGTAAAGTGCTAAAAAGCCTTGATTTTTTATACTTTTTTTTACTCAAGTTTTTTTGCATCAATCTTTTTTCAATATACCTTAAGTTACTTTATCAGATATGTACACACTTATATTACAAACTGCGTACTAATTTAATTACTGTCTTTTGTTTTGTTACTAATGAAATAATTTTTACTTTAAACCATTTATTTCTCAATCATTTATATAGCAATTTTTTCGAGTTAAGTTGAGGAAAAATAATGGATATCTAAAAGCCGGGACTAATCCCGGGATCCCCAGATTGTAATAACGAGATCTACCTAGAGATACCGGGATAGTAAAGTTTAAAAAAATTTACATCCCCAGTGTGTATGAATGTAGTTGTTTACGCCTTTGAAGTTTGGTAGCCAAAAATAATACATACATAAAATGCCTCTCAACGTTTAATTAAACTCTGAAGTATACCTTTCCCTTCTGAAATGGACCCCGCTATATTAGTTCAAGCAGCAGCCGCCTCGAGTTAACTGCGACTACGAATATCTGACAGTACTCTTCAAACAACAAGCATAAGAAATACAAATGGTTGGGACGATCCCGGGGTTATAAAGATGCGATCTAGGTTCAAAACCATCTGATTTGACAAGAAATTTCAGGAATTCTTGACAAATAACAACGGGTGAAGGATGTATGTACATGTATGTACATATAACAATTTCAGGTTTTTATGGATCCGTACTAAACTTTCCATTGCAATTGGCGGATATCTGGCAGTAGCCCCCATAGCAATGCTGACCAGCACCAGAAAATCCGTTTAAAAGGCCTTAGACGGGCATGCCACTTGGTTATCGTTTCGTTCTTTCATCATTTACAAAATCATACTAACCTTAGCCAAGCGTTTGCACTGTGTGAACAACAGTAATCTTATGTACACCCAAAATGATGACGAATTAGCCTTTTTTCCCATCATATAGAATGTATTATCTTTTTGTTCAAAAGAGTTCACTTGTAAGCCGAAAGCTGTTGATGCGATGGCGTCATTTGTGAAACGCGTCGCATAGTCCTTAAAGTCCAACTCAATACCGTTGCAGGATTCTTTGGAATGTAGTTTGTGCAAATAGTTTGTACTGTCTTCGGCCACCTGATTGATTAACTCAAACATTTGACGTAGCCTACTGCCAGTAAATGCTGGACTCAATGTGCTGCGCATATCTTTCCACTTATCGTTCTTCAGTAGAAATAAAGAATTAGCAAGGAGATCATGAGAATCCTCACCAAAGAAGTTATTGTGGTTCATGAAGTGATCGAAGTCCTTTACTGTAATTTGTCGCACAAGATCTATATCTCGAATTAGAAATATCGGTGTTGTTTGATAAAATACGCCGTAAATACTGAAATTTGTTTAAAAATAAAATAAAACTAATAAATATGATTTAATAAAATGCATTATTGAATAATGATGAGTAAAAATTATTATCATTTAAAAAAGAACTTTAAACATGTGGCCTGCCAGTGTATCACTGATGAACGCGGTAAAAGTCGATCTTTATATGCCAGAGGCCTACAGTGATGCATTAGCACCAAGGAGTAGATTTTCGATGTGATCAGCGGTAATATACTGGCACATGTAAAAGGAATTTTTTTGTGAGCACCAGCGACGCAATTTTCGATGCATCGATGTTTTTCCGACATCCCTAACTGTAATGCACTGGCAGTAGGATATTCGATTATTCACCTTTTTACCAAAAACGGGTTTCCAGTTTTTGGAAAAATTCCAATATGGAAAAAAACGGTTCCCAATTTTTAAATAAAGAAAAAAAACGGATAAAACCAATTCGAAAATGTTAGGCGCCTAAAACAAAACGGTGGAATCCAGTTTGAAAAAACCGAGTCAATCGCCCTGACTAGTAGGCAAAATTCTCTATTCACCTATTCACTCTATTCACCTAATCTAATTTTTTTTTAAATTTCATTTTTAATTAAAATGCCGCCAACGACTATAATTACAATAAAAAATAAATTAAAGTAATAATTGAAAGAGTGAAAATAAATGTGAAAAAATTGTTGGCCGTGAGACTCGATCGCGCGACGCAAATCAACTGTGCCGTCAATTCAAATCAACATTGCCGTATGTCTAAGTATGCTTCTAGTGTGCTCTACCCATTCTTCAAGAAGAGTGACCCTGCCAAATACATACGCACACTAACGCTGGATTATTCTTCTGGATATTTTGGAAAGGCTAAAGCCCATTGCCAACTAATTGATTTGGCCTTATTAGTGATTTAGTATATGCACCAGAGAGGAAACTGCATAAGAGGTATATTTTTTACCTCTTAAGGAGTTTTCTCGAAGTCCAGAGCCAAATTAACTGATCCAGTTTTATTGTTGTAAATAAGTGTGAATATCTACCTACATACATACATATGCTACTTTTTCTCAACGAATTAAGATACAGGTTTTATCTCTATTGGAAACTTGTACAAAACTTACCCTCCCTTGTGTTGATTATAAAGATCAATTAGAGTATCAAACATTGAGCGCCTGCGCAATGTCACACTTTTGAAGCTACCAAACATTGGAAAAGGTTTATCGTACGGTATTTGACGTTTTTCGAAGAAGTCAAAATTTGCTGTTGCCCAACGGTAAAGCTGATAAATAAAAGCTGCACCAAGTATAAAAAGAACAAACCACATTATGTTTTAAAAAGTATTTCCAATTTTTGTTTTGAGAAAATATTAAACGCTTCTGTGTTCTTCCACGTCTATGCCGCAACTGATTACGAATTATATTGAACTGTTCTTTTTATAAACAATCCCGATATCGGACTAAAATGGTCTTTTGCAGAGCGTTCTTAAAAGCTTGAAAAGAATGTCATGCAGATATGTATGTATGTGCATATGTAAATATTGGTCTTTTATCATTTTCTTATTTCAACCGATGTGATAACGTTGTTGTGCTTTTCGGTGCAAGAACAACCAACAAGGCGGACCCGTGTGCATATAGAACAATTAAATAAAATTTAAGTAGGATTTTCGCTAAAGTGGTTGGTTTTTTATTTCGGCCTGTACATTTTTCTTATTTTTTGCACAGTTTGCTGCACTTTTATGTGATAGCATAGACAGACGGCAGCGTTAATCTGGATTAACGGCTCAGTTAATTAAGATTGTGCTATTATACACGGCAGTACTGCGGATTTCTACTTAAAACACATCGGAAATGACTTGCCACGGGTAGGTTACTACTGCCTGGATAAACATATAGGATACTTTTTTTCCGATAGATGGACCAGGGACCGATCTATTCCAAACATCATATTTATGGTCCGATTTTCTTGAAATTTGGTGCACGTATTATAGGTATACCCAGAATAGAATTGAATGATTGTTTGATAGTTCGAAAGGGGTTTTAAGGCGCCGTAAAGCATGCGGGTATGGGCATTAATCCATTCTTATTATCTTCACTAATTATATAAAGAAAAGTCCCTTCTTTTTATAAGACGTCATATCGAGCCACGTAAAAACCCCTTCCAGTGAAGAGGCGAAGTAAGCGTTAAAGGACTACGATTTGAGGGCATGCACCTGTTATGTCCGGAACCTTAATAGGGAAGGTGCCTCTGCCTGGCTGGTTGATGTCTTCCTAGGAACAAAAGCTGACATCACAGCCATTGAAGACATGCGCTGGACGGAGCTAGGCAAACAATGTCTGGGGCCTTGCGACGTCTGGTACAAGAAGAGTGTCGGGAAGCTGCGGAGAAAAAAGATGCCGCCTACAGGGCCACGCTGCGACCGTGCGCAACGCGCGCTATGTGGGACCGCTATAGGGATCTGAAGAGGGAAGCGAGACGTATTTGCCGCAATAAGAAGAGAGAGGCCGAAATACGTGAGTGCGAAGAGTTTTAAATGCTGGCCGACAGGAAGAATGTCCGAAAATTTTACCAAAGAGTTAGGCGACTTACGGAAGGACTCAAGACCAGGATGAACTCCTGTAAGAACAACAATGGCGACCTGGTAACCGATGTTCAGAGCGCACTTAAATTATGGAGGGAACATTTCTCCGCCCTACTGAATGGTAGCAGCACGGAAAGTTGTGGATAAGCAGAACCCGAGCCCGCAGTCGATGATGATGGAGTCGACGTTTCACCGCCTGACTATGACGAGGTACGAATAGCAATAACGCGGCTGAAAAACAACAAAGCGCTGGAGGTAGCCTTCCAGCTGAGCTATTCAAGTACGGGGGCGAGGAGTTGATAAGGTGCATGCATCAACTCTTATGCAGAATATGGTCAGATGAACGCATGCCCGACAACTGGAATTTAAGTGTGCTCTCGAGGATATATGGGCGTTATTGAAAAGGGGGGCCGTGGCACATACAAACTGAATTTCTCACATTAGACTGTGTATGTGGTGTGAGAAATTCAGTTTGTATGGGAGGTGCCACACCCCCTTTTTCAATAACTCCCATTTTTCCGTAAGTTTGGCATTAGTATTATATAACTCTGTACTAAATTTCAGCACTCTACGATGAATACTTCCAGAGATATGTTGTGTGAAAACTTCAGTTTGTATGGGAGGTGCCACGCCCTCTTGATATATCGAAATTGCTTTTGATCTATTACACTGTGAGACAAATGGTAGGGGTCAGTGATCGGGAAGGGTTCAAACTACCGGGGAAAGTTATATCGGTAAAAAAGAAGTTATACGTGTCCCGGCGTTTCGCTGAGTTTTAAAAAAATTTAATATTTTAGGCAAAAAATATTTTTTTTCTTCATACATTTATTTTTACCGGCAAAACTGTTGATTGTATAGAAAAACGTTATATGAACAGATTAAAGGAATTGTAATTTTTAATTTTTTTAAATTTGTTTGAGCAAAATCGGACTAGTGGTTCTCGAGTTATGTCAAAAAAAGACCACCAAAGGTGACGATTTCCCCTATATGATAGTTATATATATATCTCGATTCCTAGACGTGAACCAGCGAAACGCCGGGACACGTGTAACTTGGTTTTGACCGATATAACCTTTCCCGTTGGTTTCATCCCATCCCGATTTTGACTGTCGCATAGTGTTATCATCCTTGGATAGTCAGGAGTCGATGCTCAAAATTTCAAAAATATCAGTACAGATGTCCTCGGGCTTTTCGAACAGAAAAAAAACGAAAAAACGGCTTCCAAAATAAATATTAGTATAGATAACAAATGAAATACACTTTTTAAATTAAATCTATCCTATGGAAAAATGTTTATGAATAATTTATTAAATAATTGCAGACATATGAAATTAATTTTAAGTAATCTCCACAAAAGTGTAAGCATTCAAACGTAAAATTTTCTTTTATTTCATTTTTGAACATAAATAAGTAAAAAACCAGAGCTTTTTCAAAAAATCGCCAGGGATAGATCGACGCGAAATTGAATTATCTTTTATTTAAAGAAAAGGAAACTCGAAATCGGTTCATATTTGGGCTCTCAAAACTAATTTGTGCACAGAAACCTTTTTTGCCCCACTGTGCGCCCCCTGACTGACTTGGACAGATCAACTAGGATTTTGTGAAGCAATTTTTGTTTCGTAGTATTTTCCATAACATCCCGCCATCTTGGCTCTATCAATCTTGGCTAAAATACATTTAAAAATGCCGAAAACTAGCAGAAATCCTAAGCCAATACAGTTAGTTTATGAAATTCATTCATTTTATTCGCGTATTATTTTTTTTTTAATTTGTTTTTAATATTTTATCATACATTTTAGTATACAAATTTTGGGCCCCCGGCAACACTGAAGTTTACGAGGTCGTTCGCGCATCAAAGTTTATATCGTAAACTTACGAGGGGCCCGTAAATAGGGCTCCATGCAAATTTTGACAGCTCTTTTACGATGCTCGTAAATTTTAGAGTTTAAGGGAAACCCCCTATTGTGCGTGTAATTTGTTAATGTAGTTTTTTGTTTTTGTGCTGCCGCTATCACTTTAAGGTGTTCTTACACCTTACACGATATGTATTTACATATGGAAATGTAAACATATCGTGTAAAGGCAAATTAGATTTGTTTCTGTACAAAGCAGATGCACGTACATACGAAATAGAAATGTTTCTATATTCATCTGACACACATATAGAATCATCTGAGTTTAGTTTATTTCGTTTTTAAAGAACGTATTTTTAAATAGTTTAAAAAAGACTGGGAATTTTACAGACGCAACGGCATAGGTATGTATTGAAAATGTCAAATTTACATATGCAAATACATGTCGTGAAGGAACACCTTTATAATTGCATCCGCCTTGATACCGATTTAGGAACTTTAAAAGAAATTTAAACACAACATAAATGTACATATGGCAATAATATTGGAAGAAAAACAAATTCCATTCGTCATTTTTGACATCTTCTCAAGTTCCACTTTCCAGCAAAACAAACAACTAGCAATCAGCTGATTCGGACTCACCACAATTGAAGGTCATGGTGAGTATTTACACAACATGCTGAGCGATGGATCCAATAAGAGAAAAGCAGTCTTTTTTTTGACTTTCGTGTGGTTGGGTTTTTTTGGTTTGTTCGTTCGCGGCTACCGGAAACTCGAGTATTTCTTGCAAAATTTTTATCCTAAAAAAGGTCAATAGGAATATAGTATTTGCGGATTGTCGTATACAACGCCCGCTAAACGAGGCGAAACGAAACTGCCTGTGAAGAAAAACTATAGGAAAAACAAATTCTGCCACCGGAAATCGCGTAGCTTAATATCTAGTTAACCTACAAACAAAAAGCGCTTAAATATCAGGAGGCCACAACTAATCTAGAACAACGCTGGTAAAATGTTTTCACGTCCAATGTAAGTTTTGTTCATTGGCCTTTGCAAGATATATATGCATATGTACATATGTATGCAGATGTGTACATAAAAAGCATAGATATGATTCAATTGTTCTTTTGCGGGGTGCCTAATTTATTAATTCAACATTTGGATAAAATAAACAAGTGAAGAAAATTTGTTAGTGACTTATGCAATGACTGCCTGTAAAATGTTATATCTTATGGCTGCAAATGTGCGGGGCAGTGTGTAGAGAAAAGTTGGGAGCTCGATGATGACACTGGTGTTTATTACAATTTATTTTATGTGAATAAGCTGTGTTTTATGTACATAAATACGTACATATGTTCATATACATTTGTGTATACATATACTATACATATGTAGGTACCTACAATATAAATTTTTGACACTGACCGACTGACTTTCATTACAACCTAATGCCTAATGCGGTTAGTTGTAGCATTTATGCTCTAGTTTAAACTACTTGCATGCCCTTTATACACATGTGTGTGTACAAAGCTATGTACATAAATACAAACATACATAGTATGCGCATATGTAGATATCTATGCTTTCTTTTGCGACTATTGTTTTTTTTTTTACTTCAACCTCGAAAACTCGATCAAAATTTGAGCCCTTAATATTAATATCGCCAAAGTCGTGCAAAGATTTCCTATATAAAATACACGTAAAATTTGATTTTTTTCAAAATTCTACAGCTCAGAGGCATTTTATAGTATAATTATGGCCAATGACGGATTTTCTTCAGAATTGAATGCTCTGCAAAAGTGTCCAATGCGGCGTACCTCTAACTCCTACCAGCGACTTAGTACGTGTCACCAAACCCTGTTTTTTAATTAAAGTCCCGTTTTTTTTACCCTATCTCGTAAATAACAATAACTAAAGAAAAATTGCGAATGTCGAATTTGTAGGCCATTCAATTTTATACAAA